AAAAGAAAACCTTGCAACTGAAATCTGGTTTTTGGGCTTTCTTCTTGGAAGCACTTTTAAAACCAAGTTCTCCAATGAGTTATCTGGTTAACATTCTCTGGTTAGCTACATAAAATACTCAGGACCATAGGGGACCAATCTGAATAAAATATAATAGGATCTATCAATCCATCTCCATCCATCCATCATCTATTATGCACATTTAGAACTTATTATTAGGATTCATTAGTTTGTTAAATAGGTAAAGTCAGCCAGTTAATTTCTCATCCAGCACAAATAAACAAGTTCTGTTCATCTGTTCTTCACCTTCACATCTCAAATCAGTAATCTCTTATCAACTGCAATTGATCTGCAGTGTTGTGAAAATGATCTTCATTGTCATTATTATCACTTTCTTTTTCTCATCAATAGTTAAATCTAGCATTGACTGGAGAAAGTTGACCACAGCATCACATTGGAGGTCCTAGAGAGAACATTTTTAATCATATCCACAAAAGTCAAGAACATAAATTTTGAGGGATGACAATAGTTGATTAATAGCATCTGAAGGTTGTAAAATGTGTTTTACAGTCATAATTTTCTGGATTTTTCTACTTGGGGCATCTGCTTCTGCTTCTTTCCAATAAGCAGTACAGGTATGATACTGAATAACTAGGACAGTCCAGGAATTTGTGGCTTGAATTATGTTTTTACTATAATTATTATTTTTAGAACTTCATATACTGTTTTTGCATACTTGGTACCAGTGATTTATTTCACTTTCTTTTGTTGCATATACTCAAATAAAGTATTATTTCAAAATCCATGGAAATATTTTGATGAAATACTCTTACAGTGTTCAAGAAGGTTTCGATTTTTGATGGTGATTTTTCATATGATTTTAATCCTCCATATAGAATAAATGATTTTTTTCCAGCTTAATTTGATATTTCACATTTCATATTTATTTTCTTAATGCTACTGAAAATGTTATCATTGCAATAACAAACAAAAAGGAAGATAAAGAGCAGCATGAACAAATCAATTGTTAATATAAACTCTTTCCAGTTCTTCTCCATGTACATTTAAAATTGTGTTCTGTGATTTCATTAGGTAATTTCTGATTTCTAAAAATTTAAGACATTTGTGGCAAAAAAAAATTAAATGCTTTACTGTAAATAATCTGAGCTTTGTGTAAATTTATTTCACTTTTTACTGCTTTTACAGCCTTTCAGTGTCATTTTATCAGCAATTAATGAAACCATGGGGAAAAGAAAACAACAGTAATTTTAGTCGTGATCATTGCTCTCAGAGCAATTCTAAAACATCTGGATAAAATCACAGTAATACATTTTCAAAAAATGGCACTGCTTGGAATGCACCACATTGTTTATTATTTATTTATATTCTGATTTTCTCTTATAAAGGGTCAGTATCTGGGGATGCCTCACATATCCCTAGATTGGTGGATAGAATATGAAACACCATTGGTTTAAAACTCCAGCCAGCAAACTATGAAACTGATCATGGTGGTGGTAATAATAAAATCTTACTGGTAATACATTTGTTTAGGAAAGCATGCACATACACAGACCCTTACAATTGTAACTTCTGCACTAGTTTTGAAATTTCAATAATTTGGTGGTGCTAATTGAAATGCAAGGCAAAGCAAAAGGTCAACCTGTAATTAATTTCTTAAACTTTACCCAGGTATTATCCAGTGTCTACAATATCAAGCAAGTAATCATGACTTTGAACATGGTTTGTTGATCCTCTTTTTAAGTGATTAATTATTTGATTGCATATTGCATATCATTTATCAAATATATTATATAACTTGGTCCATTTTTTAGAGACCTGTTTTGTGTGTTGATTTCCAGCTTTCTGGCTGTGCATTATCATTTTACCTGATACTGTGGTATGGAAGGTATTGCTGAATAGCAGTGAGCCTAAACCCTGATGGGCAACACACTGGGTAGTTGAACTCCTGTCATGCCAGTCTCTCTTTGCTGCTACTGGTGAACTTCATATCACCTTCCTTTAAGGAAGCCTAGCTGTCACTACATAGAATCTGAATTTCTTTTGTATTCCTCTAATTTCTGGAATAAATCAGCTGCACCTGGATCTATTCCCAATTTCTTTGTGTCCCAGTACCTGAATCACAATGCACAGCACAGCACTTTTTAAAATTAGGATTGTGGCCATTTACAGAATGCAGGCAGAAAGGAATTTGAATTTTCCCATTCTGAAACATACTCATTAAGGAGGAAATGTTTCATGTACTTGGATGCCTCCCTTCACCATCTTTTTGTTGCAGTTTTTCTGTCTTGACCCAATCTTTTCCTATCGAGGTTGATGGTAATCCCCATTCGGCTATACTCCTTAAACTAATAAAAGATTAGAGTGACATTTCAGAAAGGGCATCACATTAAGCTGCAGCTTTCACCATCTCAAATGATAACGCAGTGCAAAACAGTGCCAGTGAGCAGCCCATTAATCTTATGGTAATGAGGTGTCATTCTGAATGGAGACCTCCTCCTTGATCAGTATGAAGGGCACAGCAATAATGAGAACACGGATGCTTAGCTCCATGGGTAACTTTGCCAGGAAGGAGAGGATCCATAAAATGCTGTGATATCAGAAACCACTCTTTGTCACTATTGCATTCTGCTGTCAACAACAGAGAGCAGTCGCCCGCTCTGCTCTGTCACCTCGTGTGTTGTCTGCAACTAATGAGCCCTCCCCTATGTTCTAATTAGTGGCCTAAAAGTACTATAACAACTCTGCCTTTGCCATAACATGGAATCAATTAGGATTAGCTGCAAAATGAAGAGTCTGTTTTCATGGCTATATCACCAGACTATAATCACTGGTGAAAGTAACAACAAAAACCCTTATGAAGGATAGACAGGCTAGCTGAGACCTAATGATTGCCCTTTCTGTTCCAGTAAAGAGCTGGCTGAAGCCAATGCGCTGCCTAATTAGTCAATGCACTGCCAGCATAGAGAGCAGTCGATTGGGTTTGCTTCCACGCTGTTGCATACGCTGCACCCCCCTAAGAAGAACAGACGGCAGCTCCAAACTGAGCTAATTACCCATCCTGCTTAGTTTCTGGAGCATTAAAAAATTTCACATGAAGAACTGAGACTCTGGAAACAGTTTCCTGTTTCTCCATGCATAAAAATGGCCCTTTTAAGTTAACTGTGCAGGATGATAGGATCCCTTTTAGAACAAAGATACTATCTTTGGTACCTCTGAAGTATCAAGAACAACCACAACTAGAAAGAGATGCAGAAGCTAGTAAAATGTCCTTTCACTTTGTAGAGGGGCCCTGTTCACTTTCAGAGTGTTTTCATCTTTGTATGGTTCAAGATGAACCTTTTATTGTGCAATGGCCCTGCTTCATTCACAAAAGTTTTACTTTGCAGTCCTCCTGTGTTCTCCTTGTCTTCAATTAATCATGCCTTTTCCTTTTTTTCCCCACCCCAAAAAATTATCAAGGAAAGAAAGGCACACACATGCAGAATCCCCTGTGTTGACCAAAAGACAAATTCAAAGTTCATATTGTGGTAGTTTCTACATTAGGCCAATGAAAAAGGCACAAAATACATTGCTCTCTCTAGATAGATAGATAGATAGATAGAAAGATAGATAGATAAGTAGATAGATATCAGATTGTTTTCATCAGGCAAAAATGGTAAAAAGGTATTCTATGATTTAAGTTTCCTTTTGGTCCCAAAGGACAACCAGCTTTCTGTTATACTGTGCATTGGACTTCTAGACAATACCTATTTGACCAATTTGAAATGCCCTTTGAACCAACAATAATTTCAAGAACTTTGGAGTTAATCTGAGACATGCTGTGGCAATGGTGGTGGATCCACACACACATTTGGGACTAAAGACAGAATAGACTTAGGGGCCGCAGAAGTGCAGCGGGTAAAACCGCTAGTAGCAGAAAATCTGCTGACTGGAGGGTCAGCAGTTTGAAGCCACGAGTTGGGGTGAGCTCCCAGCCCTATTATTTATTTATTTATTTATCATATTTGTACCCCGCCTTTCTCAACCCTGTAGGGGACTCAAGGCGACTCACATAAATAGGCAGAAATTCGATGCCATCTAAACAACAAAGTAAAACAAACATAAAACAATAATTAAAAACATGCCAAATCTTAAAACCAATTTTTTAAAATCACATTATCCAATTAGCCCTAGCTTCTGCTTACCTAGCAGTTTGAAAGCATGTAATATGAGTAGATCAATAGGTACCGCCTCGTTGGGGAGGTAAAAGGTTGCCCCATGCAGATATGTCGACAACATGATCAGAGAAGTTTATAGATAACAGGCTCTTTGCCATGGAAAAATGGACCAAGTGCACCTCCCCATGGCTGGTGTTGAGCATCGCCTCCAGATGCAGGAGATGGAAGGGAAAGGCATTACCTCTGTCTGTGTATTGTATGTTGCTGTTGATTATGTACAAAGGCACTGAATGTTTGCTTTATATATGTAAAACTGTAATCCACTCTGAGTCCCTCTGGAGGGATAAAGTGGAATATAAATAAATTGTATTATTATTACTTTGGTTAAATAATCAAATAAAGACCTTCCAAAAATATTGAGGGTTGCAAAATAAATAGTAAGAAAAAAAATCTCTTCTTTTCTACCCTATGTCTTCGTATCTTAGTAAACATTAAAAATAAAAAGATCTGAACACATATTAATTGATCACCTATATTTATTTATTTATTTATTTATTTAGGGTACTTCTATCCCGCCCTTCTCAACCCCCGAGGGGGGACTCAGGGCGGCTTACAAAAAGGCACAATTTGATGCCTGCATAAAATACACATACGTACAAAACAGCAGTTAAAAACAATTATCACAGTTAAGATAGTCGGTATATAACACAATCAATAAAACTAATCACATGGTCAGCGTTATTTAGCAATAGCTAAATAAACAGAGACAAAGTAGCTTTTTAAAAAAGCTTCACTTTATGTTCCTTTCATTGGGAGACTCACCTGTATACAGTGGTGGGTGGAGAATTCAGAGTGTCATAGATAAGTCGCACATGACCTTGGTACAACTCTAAAGCCAAAGGATCATTGTCCCCTTTGTATAATAAGATGCCGTTGTCTTTATCTGTTGCAACCTGTGGGTGTCAAAGTGAGGAAGATGAATGATGACAGGAAAACAGAACGAGTGTACATAATGTATTTATCTACCCATACAACAAGACTATTTTTTCATGTGTAGTTTTTAAAAAGTGGATAATGAAGCAATATCGCGGCACTCAGCTCTTCAGTGAGGAAAATGACTCATTTGTACAAGCACACCTGTTTTATACATGACACCTGTCTACCATCCAATAGGCATCATCTTTGTGTGCAATGACCATTAGGAACTGGATCAGAGTTAATATCTATATTTTATACATGAAAGTTGGCCAGTATGGATGCTTATTTATCGCTAAACTGGGTGTATACAGTTTTCAATAACAGGGGGAAAATCTAAATGGGGAATCACTGGTCATTGTATACATATTTTGTGTCAGTTTCAAAGAAGAAGGCTTGGAAATACAGGGAGCTTGAAATGTCCCTCAGAGCCACTATGTTGCTTGAAGAGCTGACCTGGAAATCTGGAGTCTGCTCATTGTATGAGGTACAGCCAACCTTCTTGATTAAAAGCCATTCTGACAGGCAATTCTGGGAGACGTAGTCTCCCAAAGTAATATTTCCAAATGCTGGCAAAAATATACCATTATTGTATTGGAAAAATGTTTCATGATAATTGAAATCACCTCTGATAGACAGGAAATTCAGAGCTACCATTGGGATCAAAGAAGAAGATGAATTTCTCAGTAAACTGAATGGCTAACATATATTTTTAAGAATTTGCATTAGTTACCATCCCTAAAGCTTCATATTTACAACCCCTGAAACTTCACACCTCCCCCTTTAAAGGGCCAACACTATATTGGTTCCTATTATATCTGCAGCCACTATGTGAAGAGAATGATTTCAAAAAGTGCATAACAAATGGCAATTTAAAAAAAGTTCAATAATCATAGTAAAAAATTATAATCCAAATGAAATACATCTATTTGTACATGGTCCAGCCTGGTGTACTGGCTTGAATGCTGGACCAGGACTCTGGAGTCCAGAGTTTGAAACCTCACTCAGTCATTAAAACCTATTTGTTGCAAGTCACATGTTCTCAGCCTCTAAAAAGGCACAGGGAAAGAAAGGTAAAGCCTCTTTGAACCTAACCTGCCAAGAAAACTGGGCAATAGTAGGATAGCTGGGATCCTAAGCTAGTTGCGCAATGTGGGTCTGAATTAATGAAGGGAACAGGTGCGCAAGTGAGTGGAACAAGTGAGCGACGCAGCTGAGAGAGGACAGCAGTGAAGTAATTTAACTCATGTGTGACAGGAGAAGACTGAAGCACGTGTTTATTTAATGTTAAATGATAAACAGCGGCTTACAAAGACCTTAAATGGGATAGAAATGAGCTATCTGTGCCAAAAGATTGGTCGTATTTCCCCCCTCCTTTTTATCCTTTCTTCCATTCGTTGTATTTCCCCCCTGCTTTTTATCCTTCCTTCCATTGAAATGACTCCATTGCAGCTGCGGCTCTCATTCAGTGTGTTCATGCTCGTTCCCCTAATTCAGACGCACGTTGCACAGCCACTGTAGCGTAGGGTCCCAGCTATCATACTATTTCTGAAAACCCTGTGTTAGATTCACCTTGGAGTGGCCATAATTCAACAACAACTTGAAGGCACATGATAACATTTGAAAATGATATCTATTTATGTATAAGTTCTTTTATTAAGAACTATACTTTAACCCTTTTTAAAGAGATGCTTACTTAAAATTCATTTTTACTTGAGTAGCAATTAACTACCAGATGGAGAGGCAACATTTTAACTGCAAAATAAGCTTTAAGAACACCATCTGTGTGAAACCCATGTAGTAAACAAGTCTGGCTTTCATGTTAACATCCAGAATTTACTTTTGTCATGAACTTGTTATTGAAATGAATCTCAAACGTGGTCTTTGCAACTGACAATTGCTGAGCTCATAGCTCAAATAAAACATTTTGCTTCTACGTGGAGCTTAAACTACAGAAAACAAGAGGGTAAGAAGGATTACAAAAGAAAAGGCAGACTCAAATTGTTTCTGTCTTTTTTGTTCCAAAGAATTGTGTGAGGGGAAGAGTCTTGGATCTCTCCCACTGAAAGATGTGTAAATATCATCAGCAACTAAAGAGATCAGATGCTTCTTTTGGAAGTGGTTGCCACAAGCAGACTGCTTGTATAGGTATCTTGGTAGAGAATGCAAGTGTCATCTCTGGTCTTGGTCTGGCATCTTGCAATAACTTCTAGCAGATCAAATGGGTTAGAAGGCTGCAGATATTTGCACTAGAATGGTATTGACTGGAGTCTTGTAATCATGGCTTACTTGAAGAGAGATGTTTGCTTGAGAGCGGATTTTGGCTGGAGGCAGTTCTACATAGGAATCCTTCCCAACAAAATTGACAGTAATGAGTTTCTCGCACTTCTGGCCAGCAAAGCCAGCCAAGCAACGACAGACTGGTTCCTGGTGTACCACGATGCATTGTGCTCCATTCTGGCACTCATAGTAGTCACAAGGGCTGGTCTGGAGCAGAACCATTGGTAGAGGATTTTCACAGAAGATTCCACTTTAAAGACAGGAAACACAAAATGTTATTTGGAACTGACAAGCATTACATAACCATTTTAATGATACAAGGTTCAAAACTAACTGCTGTCAACCCCAGCTGCTTCAAGGTACATATAGAGGGTGACAGTTACTAAGCCAAATGCAAAGCAAAAGCCCAGGAATCTATTCATATGGGGAAAATACATCCCTTGCGCAGCTTCATATACAGAGGTTCATCCCAGGAAAAATGGTAGAGATAGCCATGCTCACCTAAAATTGCATGACCATGGAACGTGACATATTTATCAGTGTTATAATCCCTGAGTTCTCACGACTAGAAAACCATGGATATGTGTTTGGCCAGATTTCAGACTGAAAAGCCATCCCTTAAAGTCACAGATTTCAATCAAAGTATATACTTGAATTATCTGATTGTAAAATATTCAATTAGGGTACATATTCATTTGACATTTTAATCAAAAAGAATAAAAACACACTTGAACCATGTTTTATTTGTTAGTCTGCTCTGACATCACTGATTTAATAGAATCATGACCCCAAAGGTAGCAGAATTAAAATTGGAATGTGGAGAAATGCTCTAATAGCACAGACCAGATCATTCTTCCAATCATATATAGCATGGGAGGGAGGTGGAGGCCAGAGCCTTCTCACACTGCAATCTGATTCCACTCCCATTAATATTTAAATCGCTGATTGGCAAACTCATTTTCACTGAGGACCACATCAGTGTTATGGTTGTCTTCAAAGGGCCATTTGTAATTGTAAGACTGTATCTGTAAATGCAGCTAAACTGCCCAGGCATTTAAAGCCTCACAGGTAGTCTGGAATCGGCCTGCAAGCCTTATGTTTGACACATGTGATTTAAATCAACAAAATACCGTATATTCTGGCATATAAAACGACTGGGTGTATAAGACAACCCCCAACTTTTCCAGTTAAAATATAGAGTTTGGGATATACTCGCCGTATAAAACTACCCCTCTTCCAACACACACCAAATAAAAAAATTAAAAGCATCAGATTTGATTTCTATATGGTAATTTTCCTATTACTGTACCACCTTCTCTGCCTCTCAGATCTCGCACATGCGCGCCTGCACCACTTCACTGCAGTCTCCAGGAGCGATATCTCAGAGGCAGAGGAGAAGGTATGGTAATAGGATGCAAGGACGGACCAGACAAGTAAAGAGTTGTGTTTTTCTGGGCCCAGAGGCACTCTATCTCTTTTTTGCCATACCTCAAGCGCCCCAAACGCCTGCAGCTTGCTCCACCCTTCACTTACACATTCCCGGTGAGGCGCCCCTTCATCTCACCATCGGGACCGCATTAAGTCTACGAATCCTGATGAATGGATTCTCTTCTACCATACTTGTACAGCGTCACCTTTAATGCTTTCATAGTTGCTGCATTTGGCAGGGATGCGGCCACTGCCATTTTTGAGGTCCCCCCCGCAATATGCAGCAACCACAGATTCTCTAATTTGGATTGGAAGTTTCAGTTTCAGCACCTGCTCTATAAGATGACTCCTGGCGTATAAGACTACTCCCGCATATAAGACGACCCCCATGCATAAGTCTACTCCAGTGTATAAGGCGAATCCTGGGTATAAGACTACTCCTGCGTATAAGATGACCCTGCATAGAAGACGACCCTGACTTTTGAGATTTTCTTGGGTTAAAAAGTAGTCTTATACGCCAGAATATATGGTAAATGTTCTTTTCATCTAAGAAACTGGTTTTGAAGTCTTACTGTGTACAATGTCCCCTTCTGAGCCTCTTTGGGGTGAGAAGGGTGGCATATAAATGTTGTAAATAAATAAATACGTAAATGTAACTTTGGACAATCTTCTGCCACTACTACTAGTATAAATATATATGTTTATTAAAAGTGTGTGCTCATAATTTGTTACCAAATAAAATGGAAAAACATGTATGAGAATCACACATTCTGTGGGATAGGAAGAATCCATAACAACACGACTGAGTGATTAGAATAGACTTTGGCATAAACGTTATTATTTTGTATGTTCCTGGTGAACTTCCAAGCATTAATGTTGAAATGATTTTTTCCAGGCAATCCTTGGACTATGCCTATAACAGACATGCCACTGAAAAGCATACTGTCACAAGGGGGCTAATGGGTGAAGAGCTACGGTGACCTTTCAACAAGAAGCTGCTTGATTCTTTACATAGTAAACAGTACATTGAAACTGCATGACAATTAAGCTCACCTACTTTTCAAAAATGTTAGCCTGGCACATTAAGCAGGCAATGAGGCTAATCTGAGATGGAAGGAGTTTCTGACATTTCTTCCATTTTTTTTCTTTTTTTTGACAGTGAAAACCATGCATGTATTTATAGTATCCCCTGCTTCACCAGAGTATCTCCAAATTAGGCAACCAACCCATTTCCATCAGAAAACAAGTTTAACATTTTCTGACTACTGGGATCCACTACCTCTTGTGACTAACTAATGAGATGAAAGTTTCGCTGCAGCATACAGAAGATGTAACATAGCTATTTATTTATTTTTAACAGTAACAACAGTTAATACATTTTTACACTCCAGCAGTATTTTAATAGGAGCTTCCTATAGTAGGCCTTGCAGAGAGACTGCTAAACCTCACAAGACTTATACAGAAAGTCCCAAACATCCAAAATGGCTGGGAGCACAACACATTTCCAGCTTTGACCCACAGATAACTTGATACAGGTTATGGATGTTTATTTTTTTTGTCAAAGATTGTTGACTTATACATTAGTATATACAGAAATTTGCTTCTTATAAATCACATAATGCTGTAAAATATGGTAATTCAAGGTAGATTATAAATTACTGTAACAGGTTTGTTAAGATGTAAGTCTCTGTTTATTCACTGGTGCTTACTCTTAGTGAATCACTTATCACCATTACATAAATAAGACTCACTGCTGGTTGTCTAGGACTAAACTAAGACTATGCACCATACCTAACCACTAATGTGATATGGGTCAAAATAAGGTAACCCTTTAGATCACAAACCAGACTTATAGATTTGCCTCAAAGGGACATAGTAGAGCAAAAATGAGAAAAAGTATTGAGAATAGTGTTTGTGTGAGGTGAGAGGGAGCTCCTTTCATTTATAATTTATAGAGAATTTTAAGTAGCTTGTTCTTTATTGCAATTTTATACAGACTATCTTCTTACTACCTCCTTGTGGTAATGGCGCTCCATGCAGTCACGTTGGCCTCATGACCAAGGAGGTGTCTATGGACAATGCAGGCCCTTAGGATTAGAAATGGAGGTGAGCACACCCCCAGAGCCAGAGATGACGGGGAAGCCTTTACCTTTATCTGTGCATATGTGTGTAATTTTCTCAAGGCACTGAATGTTTGCCTTGTGTATGTATATGCTGGAATCTGTCCTGAGTCCCCTTGGGGAGATAGGACGGAATACAAATAAAGTGTTATTATTGTTGTTGTCAAAATCTTATTCACAAAATCTTCTAGATGAAGGAAGGGAAGGTCCACGGAAGGTTCCTACACAAAAAGCTACTCTATTATTCTGTGTAGTCTAGTAACCTTAGTTTTGATCAAGGCAGACAACAAATGTGCATAACATAGAGCATGGGGAAATGTTTTGAACTATAGCTCCCAGAATCTTCCAGCCATTATGAGTGGGTTGAATGTTGCTTCTTATTGCAGTCTCATTGTGTCCTACCTACTGTCCTCTGATAATTATCACAATTTCATTTGCTGTATTTACTTGCACATAAAAGTCATTTTATGTATAGGCCATTTATTGAATTCAAAACGGCAGTGCAGTATAGTGGACAGAAGCTGTGGGCAAATCCCTGTCATACTCATCAACATAATGTATGATTCCTCTTTACCTGCCATGGCTGCATCCTAGATAATCTTAGGGTGTGTAGTCTGAGAGCCAGCATGATCTGGGCATTGAACTACAACTCTGGAGATAAGGATTTGATTCTCCACTCAGTCATAGAAATCCACTTGGTGACCTTAGGTGAGTCTCACACTCCCACAATAAGTTTATATTTTCAGGAAGGCTGACTACTTTAAGTGATGTTAATGAAAATCCAAAATATGGGTCAGCCAGTTCTTGTTTCTTTCTGTGCTATGTTTATTTAGTGAATTTTATTTTCTTTCTTTGTGCCCCTTTTTTCAATCCAATTATGTTGGATTTCTCATGGAGGAAACAATGACATGGATGTGACAGTAATAATTATACTACATACAGCTAGGGAAGAAAAATGCCATCAAGTGCCAACATGGCAACAACTGATAAACACTAGCCATAAAAAGCCTGCCTAAAAAGAAAGGTCTAATCAGCCTGTTCAAAAGGTCGGGCTCCTGCATTTCATGGATAGAGAACTGAGAACCTGATTCCTGATCTACAAGCCATCAGTGAAAGATTTGGCAGTGGCCACTAACATAATAGATAACCAGAAAGCAAGAAGGTTCCTTCCCTCATGTTTAGTTTTAGTGGCCAGCAAGGTTTGTGCTTCCTCTGGCAGTAATCTAGGAATGTGTAAGGAGAATCGTTAGACCTTGGAAATATGTTTTAGTATAATGTTGTATGCATGCTTCATTTTAAAACAAAAACCCAGCGTACAAATGTGCATACTAATAAATGCTTTCAACCACCAATCTTTAGTAGATCAACTTGACAGCAAGTTTGGCTTATATCAACATCAGGTACTCCCAGAGAAGTATGTGTAGGACATGGCAACTCAAAGAAAATGCTCTGCAACATAAGCAAGGGCCCTCATGTTTCTGAAGAGTTCCAGCAACATCATACCAATGTGAAGGCATACACCCTCAAGTCATCTGAATGGTGGCTTCACTGATGCAGCTGGTCAGTTGTCTTATGTCACAAATAGTTCTCAGGAACACCTTCTGTAAATCCAACAAGAGGAATCAGACTCGGACATCTGGTTTCAACTTGAATGAAATGCCCCTGGCTGCAGGCTTAGATGCTACAGTTTGCTATGTTGCCT